GTAATATCAGGATCAAAATATACTGCAATATACTTTCGCTGCAACCAGTTACTCTGATAATTACATCTGTACTTTGTATGCTACAGACCTTGGTCAGTTAATAAAGTAAAAGATTTAATAGAATATTTTTTTTTCATGAATGATTAATAGTGTTATTATGCTATTTTTATTATGAGAATTTTTATTAACACAAATAAATTTTTTTTTTCATGATTTTATTATGGCTTATAGGTTCTGACAATTTTACAATTTTATTGGAAAATCAGTGAGAGACCTGGGTTGTGAGTATTCACAATGGGAACTACCGATATTTGTTAGAGGAACATTTACATTTGAAATTATACTTTTGCTAAATATGAATGGAAACTTATTTGTTGCAGATACTTGCGGGTCATGATGATGGTGTCACGTGTGTAGCCGTAGCCGATCATAATAGACATGTAATATCTGGATCTTTGGATACAACATTGATTATATGGAATATGATGACAGGAGAGGTGGACAGGGCACTAAATGGCCACACAGATGGAGTTACTGGTGTTAGAATGACCACTGATGGCAGTATTGCTATATCAGGTGAGTATGCTAGAATTATAGAGGGCGGTATATCGAAGAGGTGGGCAGGGCACTAAATGGTCACACAGATGGAGTTACTAGTGTTAGAATGACCACTGATGGCAGTATTGCTATATCAGGTGAGTATGCTAGAAGTATAGAGGGTGGTATATCGAAGAGGTGGGCAGGGCACTAAATGGCCACACAGATGGAGTTACTAGTGTTAGAATGACCACTAATGGCAGTATTGCTATATCAAGTGAGTATGCTAGAATTATAGAGGGCGGTATATCGAAGAGGTGGACAGGGCACTAAATGGTCACACAGATGGAGTTACTAGTGTTAGAATGACCACTGATGGCAGTATTGCTATATCAGGTGAGTATGCTAGAATTATTGAGGGCGGTATATAGAAGAGATGGACAGGGCACTAAATAGCCTCACAGATAAAGTCACCAGTTATAAAATTAGATTTGGATAAGGGGTGAACAAAATTTTGGTCAGCAAATCTTATAATGAATTTTTGTCATAAACAGTCAGCAACATTTTTTATTGAAACAGATCAACAGCGTTGACAATTTGAAATAAAGGGGAAATCTTTCCATGTATGTGTATCTGAAATGTTTTGGTTAAATTTTCTTTTGATTACTGCGGTGGTATACATATATTTCAATACAATGTTAAATTGATTCACAGCCTTTTAAAATTTAAATATTAAATATTTACCTACCCCTTTTAGAAAGACCACTGATGGCAGTTTTGCTGCATCAGGCGAGTATAGACTACTTCCCATTAGTAGTGAGACTAGGGTGCTAGCAAAACACCTGCCATTGTCATGACGCTAAATACAAATATGCCAGTCGACTGAAAGGCAATCTTATTTTTTCATGTTGATTGGTACATCCACAAGTACAATATCACATGTGCAAGTTAACGTTGCACCTCATATTCGGTATGTGAACATATGTGAAACACCGCATCTTTGAATTCCGGGAAAGTTGTTTATGGCCAGATTATAGTGGGCACTGAGAATGTTAGATAGTTGTGATGTTTGAGGGCGCTCTTGTCATTCAATCAAATTTTGATAAATTATATTCAAATTCAAAATAATTTTTTTCCCAGCATAAACATAAAATGCTCAATTGTAATAATATGGTCTTGCATTCCCCAGGATCCAAAGATGGCACACTACGCGTGTGGTCTGTACAACGGGGTACATTGATAACGTCATTTTATATGCACGTTGGCGTGGTGAACCTGGAGATGTCATTTGACGCCAGTCATATCATAGTACAATTGGCTGATGGTGGACATGCTCCATTGTTGTGCCTTCATAACAGTCCAGCAACAGATGTAAAGTCACAAAGCCAAGTTGATATTAATGTTAATGAAGGTTAGTCATTTTTTGCTCATTCAAAATGCATTGGTGTAGTATTCTGTATTGTAGAGATTGTGACCATTGCCCTCTCTACCCATGATGCATTGAACTTTTAGAGTTAGCAACCAGTAATGACTGCCCACTGAATAAATAGTTGAAGTTTATCTATGTGTATCATTCACATCTCTAAGCATCCATCAGTATATTATAATTGGTTTGTAAGAATGTATCCTATTGGCTAAGAAAATTTATATTGCTAAATTTTTGAACAAGCGATAAGTTGGTGTAAATACATGTATCATGTTTCAATCACAGCAGGCAGCAGGCAGCAGGCATTAAAAAAAAACCCACAAAACACAGATTTACATTTATTTACATTATATTACAATTATTCATTTATCTCTTATTGTGAGATGTGTATTTATTTCATTCATTTACTGTATTTTTAGTATTTCCTTTTATTTTCATTTTTTTATTATTACATGTTTTTGACTTTATTGTACTTTTTGTCAAGATCTCAAATGGGATACGATAGCAATAAAGAATTACTTACTTACTTACTTACTTATAACATCTCTGTACATGCATTTGGTTTATTTGCTTTGTCAATGTTTAGTTATCTGAAATCAGACTTAACTGATAACCAGAGTTATTCATCAAATAACTAAACATTGACAAAGCAAATAAATCAATGCATGTACAGAGATGTTATATACATGTAATGCCTGCTACCCCCTGTGGTTCCAATCAAGAATTGTTTCATTGTTTCTGACTATTTTGAAAATCTTTAAACAAAATTCATCAATTACTAATAGTTTCCCATTCTTCTTGCATTGACACCAGATCCATGGCCAGTGTTGCCAATTAAACCCAAACCTCCGTTGGTACACAAGCAGTCTGTAGTCCTCCCACCAACTGGAAGTCGAAAATCCACCGTCATCCCGCCAGGAGAGGCTGGAAAAGCTAACGCAACTGCTACAACCGGCCAAACGTCGAATAAGAAAGGTGCACTGAGCGGCACCATTGGTACTTCAAAAGACAGCAAAGGAACACCAAAGAAAAACAAGAAGTCTGGAGTTTGCATTATACTCTAGGTTTTGTGGATTTATGTGGGATTCGCAACAAAGACCAACACTTCACCAACAAAAGTGGAACTCTTAGCAAATCAAAGTATGAATATGTGGGATTTTAAATGTGCAATTACACCACAACTTTAAAGTACAAATATTTTGACTGAAAATGACCGATGTAAAAGTGTTTAAAAGTTGTATAGTTTTCGTCTTCTTTCCTCATATATCACCCACCCATTTGATCACGTGTACATAACAAAATATATTATTATATTTAACTGGGACAGGGCTTGCTACTGTAATAGGTATTTATATTTACTTCAGCCAATCACAATAGGGCTTGCTATTGTAATAGGTATTTACACTCACTTCAACGAATCACAATAGGGCTTGCTACTGTAATAGGTATTTATACTCACTTCAACAAATCACAAAGGGCTTGCTACTGTAATAGATATTTATATCATGGAACTATAAACCCCAGGAAGAACAACCACTTCGTTTCCTTTGAACTATGATAGTTGCCGCGATGTCGAATGTTTATTTTGACTGTTTATTTCGTCGCATTAAAAAATAAGCCAATTTACGCAAATGAACGTTTATCTCCGACTATCGGGCGACTTCGGGAGATCACGTGATCGAGTTGTTTCGGTTATAGCATAAAAAAACAATGGCGCCAAGACAAAAACACTGATAAATGAGCGACATTGAACAGGAAAAAAAAACACATTGCCACTTCTGGCAATCGAAGGGAAACACGGAATAAGTCGGGATATCTCGACAACAAACAGCATACCAAACCCCATGTTTCGCAAACTTTCGCAACCTTATTTTTTCAAGGGTTGAAAAAAACAAGAAGTAACCTAAAAACGACATTAAAAATTATGAAAACTCGCTAAAACTCTGACCCGTTGCATGATTTCCGGTACACTGAAGGTCACCCTGCAGACCGACTTGTTTGCGCATGCGTAGTGAACGAAATATTTTACTGCGCAGATATGATTTTTTTTTTTCAAGTTTTTCGTTTCCAGCAAAGCGGTTGATACGGGCGTATCGGCGGCAACTAACATGGAGTATGACTAATGTTGTAGAAACAAAAGCGAAAGCACTGTAAGATAAACTAAGACAAAGGTTTTTTTAATCCTCTTAGTTTCGTTGTTCTTCCTGGGGTTTATAGTTCCATGTTTATATTGACTTCAGCCAATCAAAATAAGGCTCGCCACTATGATAGATATTCAAACTCACTTTAACCAATCAGGACAAATCTAGTTACTGTAATACCTATATAATTTCTATAAAATGTTTTTGCTTTCACTTTTGCTTTTTGAATAATGTGTACATTCTTAATGGATCCCCAGTAATTTCATAAAATGTTAATAATTATGTTATTTATTCAGTTAGGTTTGAAAATAAGCATTGGTCACTGAAGTAATTTCCGTGGAAAAATGGCAGCAAATTTGAATAAAAGTTGAGGGAATCTAGGATCTTTCAGCATTAAGGAAATGTACATTTTATTAAAAATGAGTAAATTTAATGATAGAATGGTTAACACAGAGACAGACTCTGTCTTACGACATTCAATATACACCAAGAAAACTTGTTTTAGCTTAAAGCTTGTGTTTGTATAAAATCAATATTTCTAAAAACTGGGAAAAGTGCATTATTAATAGATTCTACATTAAAATGTATGTACATATATTAACCTCTAAAGAAATAATTTATATTTTATGTTTTTGTTTGAGCATAGAGCTTAAGATTTAGTGTGGAGAATTTCACTTGGTGAATGGAAACAATCTCCTTTTTTTTAAATTCATCCATACATAGTTGAATACAGCACAGTAATATCAGAATGTATAACCCTCAGTTGATGTTGAAGATATTACTTTGCTGGTCAAATACTTAAATCTGTACTCGTGTTGATGTATATTTTATATATGCGAACTTTGTAAGACTCACAAACCATTCTAGATGCATGGTGACACACATATCAACATGTATGTAAATTACATCCTTATATGGCACTTTATATGTAAATGACATCCTTATTATCACTTCTATGTAAATGAAACGCTAGAGATGAATATATTTGCATAATAATGATGCAATTTGCATTATCAATGAAATTTCCAAATCTTATAATTCACTTTTAATATTTAAAGAGGATATGTCCAATAGTAAACATTTTATGCTTATTTAAATTATTTACAATTTGAAAGAATGGTTACACTTTGTACAAGGATTGCTCACCCCACTTATTTTATTAAATTTCAAATACTATATATAATTGAAAAGAAATTTTTGGATTTCAAATTCTATATACGATTGGCAGATAACCAAATACAGATCAGACACGACCATTTTAATAAAAATTATGTTGGCATAATGTATATTTGCAGTCTCAGTTCTGCTTGTATCGCTTTGAACTGTATAGATGGCGCCCTCTGTTGGCTAGATAGTGCAATCTTTTCTTTTTATATTTGCCATTTTTGTCACAACTTTTAACAATGTATTTTTCAGCGCTGTGCAATAAATGCATTAATTATTCAGCAAAACCTTTAGTATTTTACTTCTTTGTACAAGAGTTCTTGATTTTTGACCAAAAAACAGATGTAATGGACAGACACTTTGTGCCAATGAAAAACATATTTTTGACTGCAAAAATTGACATTTAATGGGAAAACCTGTATTATACATATATTACCGTAATGCCACAAGTAACATCATGCTGTAATTTTGAAGTATTGCATCCAACCATATTAGGAAACGCAAATTCCAAATATGGAACGATTTGGTGCGTAAGCGGCCAAATAAGAAAAAACGGGCCGGTCCCCACATAAAGAAGTTCGCTAAATCTGTTCTAAACGTTATGGATAATGTTATTACAAGGATACTGCAAAGTTTGCACTCTGACAGTATGCAATCGCATCGACCTCCACTGGGCGTTGGTCGATACTCCTGCTGTACTGTCTTTGTGCATACTTTGCAATATCCTCGTAATAACCTCATAGTTGGATTTTCGGAATCACACTCAGGTCAACTGAGATTAGAAATACTTCAGTTAGCTCTATTGGTAAGAGTATCCTTAGAAACACAATCTGGGCTGAATCAGTTTGATATTCCGAAAAAAAAAACATGCAATCAATTCATTCAACATTCTCATTAAACAAACGAAAGACACAGCATGATCAATAGAGGGCGTTGCATTTTATTTAACACACAGCGGCAAATATACAAAAGTTCTCTGGTGATACAGATTGACAAATCTAGCAAAGCTAAATAAATGCACATTATGGACATGTTATTCAACAATCCCAACAATCATAAATTGATAATTCTCCAAGTTTTACAAGCGAAATATACATTCAATATTTTACATATGATTGATGTCAACTTGTTTGCAGTTGAAACAAAAATTCTTAAATATGGCTTCAAATGAAAGCTTAAAATTCAGTGGTACTGTTAACCATGTTCACATTGAGATGTAGAATACTAAGTCACGAGTACCTAGGTTTGTGCATTTCTCCCATAATGCATTGCATCATTCGTAAACTATTGATACTAAAGTGATCAATTAATGATAATTTAAGATGAAATATACAATAAAGGGTAGCACATTTTTTCTGATACCACAGTGAGGCTTAGATATTTTACTTCCAAACTGTCATGATCAAATGCGCTGTCAACATACATCAAACAGTCCAGAATACCAAAAAAAATAAACCTGGGGTCTTAAGCTGCAACTCAATATTCTTTTCATTTTGAAATTTGGGGGTTGTTTTTTTTAATAAATTTAAATCAGGTGTGACGTATACATCTACAGTACCATAGGTACATTACCTCTCACAGAACGTAGAATGGTTCCAGAGACTAGTCAAGAAAGCAGACTACCGAACCCAAATCATATTCGGCCACGAGATGAGGCAACAAAATACTGGTTATATATGCATGTGTTTATTATTAACACAAAAGAATGTAGAAGTTACAGCTTATGACCCTTTAAAAAGCATCTTGTCATTTTCAATCCCACGCTATGCATCACAGTTACTAGAAACTGTAAATACAATGTGCATTGGTCATGATACGTTAATAAACATGATGGACAGGTGGTTGTCATGACAGCATACTGTGGATACATGTAGGTGAAGCGCATTCCTTATTTACACAAAATTTTAAAACTAGCGCCTTTACCATATAAATATCCTGTGGGCCCTTTATTCTAGTTTTAGTAAATACGAGAATGAAAATCTACAAAGATGATTTTTTTTTCTAATCAGTACATCACAAATCAGCACAAAGACTTTAAATGCATTTTTATTACAATAACAAAAATCACCGTATTATGGGATATATGGCAGTTGATAATAAATTTGTATCAGTCACCATGACAACTATAACACTACAATAATCACATAATTCTAAAATTGAAAGTTTGTATTGAAGGCAGTAGATCGCAATTATTATTTTTTGGGAAAAAAACTACAAAAACACATCCCAAAAAATGTTTTAAATTCAATAAAAATTTGCATAAACTGGCCAATTAACAGCAGATTGTAAAGCACGAAATAAACATGCAACAAAATCATTCATTGAAGAAAAATTAGATTTCATCTGACTGCTGGCCAATTAGAAACATGGTTATTAAAACAGGAAATTAGCTTCATAAGAATTGCACCGATTGGCTATGGATGCACATGTGACCAAGCCAAAATAAATGCAAGATTTTTAAAAAGGAAACAAGACAAGATTTTAAAAATATGAAAATCAGCCTCATTCAAGTTTACATTCAGTTTGCCCAAAGCGAAAAAAATTCAAAAAAGTTCTCCAAGAATAAATTTAAATGCAAATGAGGGCTTTAATTTACATACCAGAATAAGTTTTTATGTTGTGAATTTTCCCTTGAAAAGTGGATTTATTGGTTGACTGGGAATCTTTTCACATACTTATGCTTCCATAACCATTTGTTTACATTTTTCTTTTTCAATATACCAGTACATGCATCTCCAAGTTTTAAAAAACTCAGATTTATATTAAAAAGCCACTGACACGTCTTTCCACCTCAATGGATGTCAAGTCTGTTTAGGTCTGTTTGGTAGGGAATTTTCTCCATTTCTGATCTAACTCACTTTTTCCCCTCCCATTTAGTAGCATGTCCTTAGCATATGAACTCTTTCCTAACAGGGCTAAATACTGCAAACGCTTGTTAACATTAGGCACATAAAGGCATTATTAATTAAAATTAACGCTGTAATAACCGTTGTGCTGATTAAATAAATTGTTGCGTTAGAGGCACCCTAGGAGACAAATCAGACCATATCTTGCCATGTATAATAGAAAATGAAAATTTTTATATTCATGTGAAAAAAATTGTAGCATATCCCCCTTCATACTTAAATATTGATTTTGCAACTGTTGCAGGGGGGAGGCATTTTATTTTTTGATTTTCTAAAGTTCAAAATTTTGCTCTGTAAATAAAGATTAAAATTAGACTTCTGACAGCGCATTCACTCGTATCAGACATGTTCATTGTGCAGGGGATCTTATAAGATTTCTGTACTCTTTAATTGTGAGGACATTTTGCACACCCAAATATTTTTTTGCAGTTCATTTCATGAAAATAGCAAATGAATAAAAAGACCAGGTTGAACTCAAAATTGTAACTCAGTTCAACTCGACAATTATTCTACACTTTTCCAGTATTACATATCATAAAGGTAACCAACCCTCAAACAACACATACTAAAAACTGTTTAATCTTTTAGCGGAACTTTTGCCATTTGATGACTTTGTGCTAATCACCTGGCAACCATGACTGGCGAAAACAAAAACAA